AGAAAGGCAATGGTTCCAACCAAAAGACTTTGATCTTCATACTCCTTGGAAAAATGTGAGAGGGTCTGCTCTCACCGTGAATGTGACAAAGGAAGCCTTAGGCCTACGATGCCCATTTGCAATCAAACCAACCTGGCTCGATAACACCAGTGAGAACAGCAAATGTGAAAAAACCGGTACCAAACAATACCGTGCCGAACTTAAATATCGGGTAAGTGCAAATTGGACTTTTGTCCAAGACAGAGACTGTTTTGCTCATGTCTTGCACTATTCTTGTAACATACGATGGTGATGAAACAGCAGTTAACAAAACAAGCCGGCAAGTACCCTTCAACCACTCCCTTTTGATGATATTTGACAGCAGCTGTATTATGGAAGTAACTTTTTTTTTAGAGATGTTCGCACAGAAATCGACCATCCTGCAAATTGGACCTCTCTATGGGAGCTGTACATTTAGGTTTATTTGAGCATCAGACTTTGGTTTTACTCACATTATTCTCGACTTTCCTACAGCCCCTCCCATACTTGAAGCCCCTCACTTCCCAAATATGTGATCCTGATGGGGCAGTTACCAGAAGAGGGAGCGATCTTTTTACCTCTGTAATAGTAGTGACCTCTTCATGATTTTCTTTCTGGGAAGTTTACCCTGAATCCTCCGAAATTTTCCGAGTTGATACCGTTTGTTAATTCCTTTTATGTTGACGCAGGTGGAGGGGGAAAGGGAAGAAAGTCTCCAAGGATGGCGAACTACAGGCAAAAGGCTTGAGTTCGAAACCCGCTTGAGCTCAAATTTCTGCCGGCCTTGTGAGACTAAAAACAATCCAGACAGGAAAACCTGTTCGTTAACGATCACCTGAAGAACTAAACCCCTGGGAACATTCCCATCCGAGTAGATTCGACACGATTGGTTTCGGCCTGGGATTTATGCCATCAGCAGCTGTCTGTTATGATGTTGTGGAACCGGATGCACTTGTCTGCTGCCATCATACAACCGGCCCCTTCATAGAAAATCAAAGCAACACCGTGCCGTAGATTAATCTATACAGATTCATCTCCTCCATAACGGGTTCGCGGGTTCGTTGACCCCCTCCCCGTCGATTTGTTGCTCAAAAACCTGTTGGGAGCTACTTAAGAACTTAAGAGCGTAAATTGAGTTCGTTATCCTGGATCGATTTCCTCCTGGGCCAACCAAGCCTTCCTTCCCATCCCTTTGAGGTTACTCGTCTGGGAGGATAAAAGCGTTGACTCGTACATCGGCTGGCCACCACAAGTCATCGTATATGTCACATACGCATTCAATAGGACCCTACGATGCCCAATGCGGGGGCGCATCCCTCAGACGGGATTGATCAACGCCCGAAGCCTTTATCTTTTTATCACACTTTACCTTGGGAAAGGGGTCATGGCGCTGTACTTGATTTTATTGGAACCCTGTATTGGCCTACGTAAATACTTGTGGGATAAGCCGAGAAGCGATCAGAAATCACCTTTTTCGGAATAATTTGATTCACTAGACCTCAAAGGAAGGAAAAAATGGGTCGTTAGGGCAGAACAAAGCGAGAAAAGCAGTGGCTACTATACTGGTACGGGAGTTCACCCATATGCGATGGCCAAACACTTCAGGAATACACGAGTGTAAAACTATTTATAGGACGTTGAGAAGAAAAACGGTAGATGCCAAAAATTGAAAAAAAGCAAAAAAAAATCCACTTCCAAATGGAATAGAAAAGGGTGGGAAGCAAAACTTGCCAGATTTTGCATCTTTCCTTGACTCGAATTGAGATCAGATGCTTATCGCCTGCGTAAACGGTCGTCAGCTGATCGTAGTCTGGCATAGCTCTTTTCGGATCAACAAAGTAATCCGATGGAACAGGTCCCATACCGTATCTGAATCAATCTGATCTGATGACATTCTAACCACTAATTAGGTAGCAGTAACTCAGAGGTGACGCATGGCGATACCTCTGTTACATCCTGGCAATACTACATACTAAAAAGCCGCAATTATAATTGTACCGTATGGTGGCTGGACATTTTGGATCTCCATTTTCGAGTCGATTTCCTCCCCAATGAACTGGCCATCCATCCAAATTGACGTATTGGGCTAGCGCCCATTTCCAATCAGCCTAAAAATAAAAACCAGCTAAGGGTCAAAGAAACTTGATATGTGGGTGTACAACCAGTTTCTCTTTAAAAAAAGACCGTTTTTTTCTTGCCCAGATGTTCATACCAATATTTCATTATTACTATTACAAACAGTGGGAATAATCTCCCACAGACTGCTCAGTTAGTGGGAGAACAGCGACGGCTTGCATCCAATCAATCCCCTGACATTGCTTAGCAGTGTTGTAGTGATCCCGGAGAAAAAGCATTTCCTTCTCGGCGCTCTCTTTCGACTGCATTTGCTCGCCTTCAAAGCTGGCTACCAAAAGCGGAAGCTGTCGGGGGTTTCCTACTTCCAGGAACCGCTTAGGGAACAGGATTTCTTGCTTATCCCACAAAGAATTGACGAGAAACATCTTTTAGGAAAGGTGTTCCAAAACATAAAGTTTTTTTTGCTATGGAAAAAACACTTAGGACCCAGAATCGCAGCTGGTCTAGAAAGATGGCTGCTTCAAGAATGGTGATGCAGTGCCCAAGCGGATATACAGGGTGACCCACATGAAGTGTGACACAAAAATCTACCACTAACATTATACAAAACAAACAAGAAGGAAACATTTACTTCTATCAATCATCACAAAAATTGTAAACATTACATCACATTTTGCCCTAAGAACGGCTACCTTTCGCCTTATTGCAAGTATCCAACCACTTTCGGGAGTTTTCAAGAATGCCGCCGGCGAATTTCATCCCACGCTTTTCCATGAGAGATTTTTTTCAGAGAGCCCGAAGACCTTGTTCGAATGCCCAGGTTTTTTACTTCAGAATCGACCATACAGCAAAATCCAAAGGCTTGAGATCGGGGGGTTTGAAGACCAAACCTCCTTCGTCCAAAAACTCGAAAGCATGGTCTCACATCATTACAGTCTCTTCTTTGAGCTGTGGGCTGGTGCCCAATCCTGCTGAACGGTTCAGCTGACTTTCTTCGCGTTCTTCTTGGCCCCCAAGGGATCACCTCATCCTCCAGCCCAGAACCCCATAAGTCGATTTTTGATTGCCCGTCACACTTCATGTGGGTCACCCAGTACATACCAAGAGACCTCGTTCAATTTTTAAGACTGTTCCAGGGCAAAAGCAAATTGTTCAGTCGACAGGGGGTCCAGAAAAGTTCAAGTTTCTATTCCAGAAACCTTCGCGATAGATGCGAACTCCATAGCAGTTGATAAGATTCCGCAAGTAATAGGGAGCCCCCC